TCCGAGTTGTAGTAAAGATCCCCTCGATGGGATCAACGTAGATCAGCTGAGGAAATTTACTTTACATTAAAGTCACAAACATTATCAGCAGAGACAATAAACCCACGTCCCTCGGTCCCGCCTACACAGTGACCCGCTGTTAAGAGCGTGCAAGCCTTAATATAATTGTTTTCCTGTTTAATTTCCGAACTCTCGTTAAGTTTAATTGTATTTTTGATACAATAACTTCAAGGTGCGGCTGCTTGCCCTGTGTGACGACACATACTGATACCATCCTCCTTACGACATATTGCATGCTCTAGACATTGGTCTTTTTTGATGCGATAAATACGAGGTACCGCTCGTCGCCTGGTGTGACCACACATACTAATGCCCTTCTCCTCACGGTATATTGCATGCTCTAGACATTGGTCACCCTAAGAATCAGTGTCTTGTCTGCAGACCATCTCATCGGAGAATTCCAAGGAGTTAATTATGCCTCGTTTTAGCTTAATGTGGGAAGAAACCTACGAGTAATGAGTGTCTTATACGTTTAACTTTACAGCACTGGTGTTATGAGACAGAGGGTCACGATTCTAACCAATCGCAGGTGTACTGCTGACCTGCGTTAAACAACAAACAAGCAGTTACTTTTTTATACATTATTAAATAATAATAATAATAATAAGTGCATTTATAATGCGCTAAATTCCATTCACTAGGTGGATGCACATAGTAGTTTTACCACCGGGTACCCATTTTCTGTTGGGTGAACAGATGCAATTTTGAACAAACTCACTTGCCTAAGGTGAGACCACATGTATCACATACATCTCGTTGTGGGGCAGGATTGAAGACTCTCAGGAGTCAAGCTGCCAAACACGGTCACCCATCCAGGAAGTCTCCGCACCCAACGTTGCTTAACTTCAACTGATCTGTGACCTGAGCTCTATGCACAAGACCAAACACCATACTGCTGACACAACAAACAAGAATTTACTTTTTGTAATAGGGCGGGTGTACCAGTAGAATTTGACTTGATTACCTTTTCCTAACTTTTAGTGATCCATTTTCGCTTCTTTTTTAGCCCAACTGAGTCTGTTCTAGGAGATAATGGAGATTGGTATTTCTCTGGCGTTGACATTTCATATTAGGCGTCGCTTTGAACATTTTTCAATGACACCATGATGTGAGAACAAGAGAGTTGTTTTTTTCACCCCGCTTTGGACAACAGCACGTCGTGTCAGCTTAATGCGTTTGGAACTCCCGACGTGATATAAGACGTCACGTTTATCACCCTGGAGAAACCCATAACGGTAGAAATGGTGCTACCAGGGGATCATAATCCATAGAGCGTCAAGACATTAATTCTCTGGAGCATGGAATTGGGTTAAAGGCAATGCTCTTTTCTTTGATGTTTGAACGAGGCCGCCATAGAATCAACACAGTTCATGCAGTTCCTTCTCCAGCAAATTTGTGAAAAGAATCTTTGTTGGTATGAAACAATAAACGTCATATAATTTGTTCTGGTGATTAGACATGGTATACAATTACCAAAGTTAATACTAAAGCCTAGTTCAGCATGAAAACCTTGTCGTCTCGTGCAAATGTACCAATGTGACTGCGGGAACGTGTCTAGAACATGATTAAATGTTTCTTGCGTCGACAGAAATGTTCGTGCGGACTGTCATCAACTGTAGCTTGAATAGACACCTGGGGCTACTTTTCCTAGCACCATCAACCTGGAAAGTTTGATCGTAATGCAGGAAAAATAGCTCAAGTGTCATCGACACTACACCGTGTTTTAATCAGTAAATATGTATGGTAGGTTTGAATAGAGACTGTCGTTACATTCTATCGTTTAGGTGTTTGATTTTTAGAAGAATGTCTGGTCCAAAGTTAATGTTTAAAAAACAACCATCATACAAACTTAATGGCGGATAGCTCAGTACTGCTTGAAGCAACAATTGGTAAAACTACTCCACTTGAATAAAAATTGAAACGTGAAAGATTTTAGGAAGGATTTTAAGCATCGTAATTGCATACAGTTCTGAGTGAGTTCTGCTACACGGAATCGGTTTTATCCGTAGCGGAACATGGCCAGACGTTCCCGCGGTTGATATCAAGATCAATTTTGCTTTTGGTACAACACAAACATATCGAACAGCCAGCCAAATAATAATAATAATGAAAATACATTTCCTCAAATTTGTTTTCATGTCTGAAACCAGTTAAATTTCTGTCAGTGGACTAGTTTTACCAATTGTTGTTTCAAGCAGTACCCAGCTAGGTGCCATTAATTTTGTATGATAGCTGTTTTTAAAACTGTAACTTTGGACCAGACAAACCAGTGATTGATAGTGGTGCTTTTGTCGCTGGAACATCGTTGTGTGCGGCGTTACACAAACAAACAAACAAACAAACAAACAAACAAACGTCGAATCCATTACGTTTGGTGTAACAGTCCTAGGTTGCTGGTGTTATAACGCGGAGTCTCCACAGGGGTGGAATAATGAAATATTTTATGCATATATAGTGACACGAGGAATAAGCATCCAGACTCGGTGATCAGACTCTTTCTAAATCCCCAATGGTTATGACGAAATGATGTTGATCATCGTGTATAACACCTCAAGACAGATACACCGTTTCTACCATATGAAAGAGTGACTTGATAAAAAGCAACTCAGTTGGTAAATTCCTTCTTTGAGTGACATTTAGAAGCTGGTATGATGAACAGGAACGATTTTTTATGGATAGACAACTTGCTTGATAACGGTGTTAGCATCTACACCGAAACGTCACATCCATTGCAATTAAGAAGTTGTCTATCCATATACAAATCGTTCCTGTTGGTAAATTCGTTAAACACGAAATGGTGTCTGTCTTTTCGAATCGTTATCGACCATCTTTACGCCAATAGCACCACGATACAATCAAGAACCATCAGGTACATGGAACAATAACAGGATGGATACGTACCTGTTAATAACGTAAATACGCATACACAGCATACAGCTTCAGGACATTAAATCTCTGAAGCATGAAATGACTCTAAAAGCAATACCCTATCAAATGATATTTTACAGCCAGCATATATAGGTTTGAACGAAGCTGCCATAGTATCACACAGTTCATACAGTTCCTTTTAAACAAATTTAAAAAATAAATATAATGGTATGAAACAATACACGTCCTTATTATGTTCTGGTGATACGATTCGGGAAAAAATCGTGAATGTTGATATTAAGAGCTAGTTCAGCATAAAACTTTCTCATCTCGTTGTGCAAATATACCAGTTTGACTGCGGGGACGTGTCTAGAACATGATTAAATGTTCTTGCGTCGACAGAAATGTTCGTGCGGACTGTCATCAACTGTAGCTTGAATAGACACCTGGGGCTACTTTTCCTAGCACCATCAACCTGGAAACCTTGATCGTAATGCAGGAAAAATAGCTCAACTGTTATCGGCACTATACCGTGTTTTAATCATTACAGTCTATTATTCTGTAGTTTGAATGTTAAACTTCATGAAGTATTTTTATCGTCATTGATACCAATGGGGTATTTTCTTTCAGAAGATTCGGGAACGCAGAGTGTCATCGCTGATTTACAATGACTTGTCACAAGACAATTAAGTTAAACAACAGTTCGATGTTTACGACAAATATAACCTTCCACGCAGATAATTGTGAAGTGTTATGTTTATTATTCATGAAATCATATCTTACACCATATTTAAATGAGTTCGTAATAACAAACCAACATGGGGAAGATCAATGCATTGCAGTGATATTTACCTGGAAGAAATCTAACGCCCTCCAGATTTGTATTTCCATATACGCTAAACTCCGCTTATAACGAATACTCTTATACCTAAATGACAGGTGTGACGTAATGGTTGTTTTAGCCACTTGCTGTATATTTTCGTCGAAATAGGTGTAACGAACTACAGTTATAACGAACTAAAATGTATCGCCTTTTTGAGTTCGTTACAACCATAGTTTACTGTTATTCCAAACACCTGTATATCTTTTAGATATATTTTTCATGATAACTTGATTTTCTTGAATATGAATGACACCACGGATATTGTGAAACGTACACTGTACGGTCATCTTCATGATCTCAGTGGAACTGGGTAGGTGGTGCCATGTGATGGCAGGGAACAGATGAAGCACTGGTAGTCAAACTATTGCCATGGAACATGCACGAATCATGCCATCTTATATAGGTGCTCATCCACCTGAAGAAGGCCAAGAACTAGCCCAGAAACGTCGTAAAAACAAATACAGAAGTTGTTATCCATGAGATTTGTTTTGTATTACTAGATCAACTTCTAAATGCCTTTGAAGAATTTCATCTTATGATTGATTTTGTTTTTTGCATTTCAAACGAAGATGTCACTTTGTCACTCTTGAATACTAAATGATGTTTTTATTTTGATAGAGATCATAAACCCATGCCCACGTCATAGTCGGAATTGTACAAACGATGTTGCTTTTAACAGAGATTTCTTGTGAATGTAGTATGGGTTTTGTCGCTCTTATTCAACGGTTTGTCAATTTGAAAATATATAGTTTAGGACTGACATATTTCCAGGTCTGTATGTGCCAGTTGTTTAGAGGTTGTAACCCCCCAAAATGGTTTGAAAAGGATATTCTAAATAGGGACTTGAATTACAAATTCATGAGTACTGATCAAGTTACACAAAATAGTAAGAGGAAACACCTCCACAGGAACAAGAAACATATGAAGAAGTTTCGTTCATGTACCTAAGACATAATTCCCGAAATATTACACGGTTGTTTCTGAAGAAATCCAGATTGATTTCCCAAGAACCGTAATATCACGCTGAGGAAAGTGAAAATGCTTTGAGTCAATATACGGCAACGCTACAGACACTATTCTTATTCAGCTTTCCGGTTTCAATGGAATGATTCACAAAATACACTGTGAGCCTGCCATTAATGCTGCAAAACCTGAAGTGATAATAGGAAACGGTCACATGTCAACTTACCTGTTGCCGCTGGCTTCACAGATTGTGTATTTCCATCAGTTAGACTCAGTGCCTAACAGCGAAACAATCAATTAAAGACCCGCTAGAGTGACACCACAACAGATCCATTCACGAGAACGTCAGCGATCAGGTCTGGCGTTGTTCATTGATGGTATATCTGAATTGACTTGCAAGTTTTAAACACCGCACAGCTTAACCCCCGCCTCGAGCCAAGCACACGGGGTCGTGTAACTGATGTTAGTCCTGATGAAATCCCAGAAGCGAAAACACATGTAAAAGCCACTTTTATCAATGCCTAATCTTCTATTTGGGAAATTTATTCTTCTAACTTGTTGATGTTGACGAACCAGCTATCTTCTAACCTGTGTTTCGTAATATGAAAAGCGTCCTCTGGCTAATGTAAACCATTTGGTTTGCACCATGAGCCAGGAAGAAGCTATCCAGTGTATCACACACTTGCACGGTCAAAACGTAAATGTTCCAGGCCTAGCGCGTGCACGGAGTGGTAAACGTGCTACCCACACACTACACACTACGAACTGAATGCTCTAGAAGCAGACGACTTCACAGAGCTGTGGAGCAAACGGCTTCTTCGTCTGCAGATCGATGCTGCTTCTAGCCTGTCTACGGTCAAGGCTAAATAAGGGGCCCTGGAAGGATGAGTTGCTTTTCCAGGCAGATTCATAGGGGTAAATGATAATTTTCTTATCAATGTGTTGACTGGAAATGTGTTGACACATGGTGTTAATTAACGCCAGTGTTAATTACAAATATCGTGCACATCTGAGGTATATAACTGCAACGCTCGGTAGGGCCTCGAACAAGCCTCTAATCGACAGATTTGGGACTTTCTCTTTCGGAAAACAAAGTTCGATTCAAACTACGTGCCAAACTAATATCCACCCAATATGTACGTGCACATATACTGGAGGGGCGTTTTAGTTTGGGTTTACGAGTCAAAAACTGTTACGAGACTTTCTTTAAAAATCATGTGTATTCCAAATTCGTTCCTTAAATAGATTATGTACATCACAGTACTTTTTTCAGAAATGATGCTGTCTTACGAATCATCCTAATCTATTATGATATAAACAATTTATTTATATCAAACTGCTTGGGGATGAAAATTATTGGAGGTTGATTTATAATTGAAAACTATTGGAGTGTGAAGTTTAGTTGAGGGCTTAAGTTCCAAAATCAAAATATCGCACATTTTCATTTTGAAAGCGCCTGACCATTCTTCAACAAACATTCATCTGACTTTGTTTTCAATGTAGCTATCATCACATTATGGTGTATCTTCCTGACATGTTTTCGTTCAGTGGATGTGTATATTTCCTTATGATATGGGTAGGTGTCTCAGAATGATGGAATCAAAAGATATAAATGGTGTCTGTAGGGGTCATATATGAATAAAGATGCAAACATGAAAGGTCAGGTAGGTATGAAGTCAAAGTGACCTCTGATGAAGAAATTTGAGATGTAAAGCGTGCAAATATGAGGTTGGCATGCCCATTCAAATCATAATAGAAATATGAACTCAGAGATAATTCATAATCAGTTATGAAAAGTTACAATTACTTAGATGTTTTCTATCATATTGTTGAACTGATATCTTCATTATTTGATCATGAAGTGTCAAGTCTGTCTGATCACATCTGATTTGTATATGTTGCACGTAGTGCCAATCTAGCACGTCACGTATTCCGGGATGTTCCTTGTCAGAATTGGTCGTTCGTTCGTTCGTTCGTTCGTGAGTGACTTTTCAGCAATATTCCGGCAATATCACGGCCGGGGACACCAGAAATGGGCTTCACGCATTGTACCCATCTTTGGCGTGAACGAGCGAACGCTTTAACCACTAGGCTTCCTCACCGCTCCTGGTCTTTAGTAACCGGTGCTGGACGAAATAGGGGACTAAAAGATCGGGTGGCCCGGCTGGCCCACTGTAATTGGTGAATGTCATCCTAACCCAGTTGTGTATTTTGATGTTCGTTATGTCAATCACTACATTTTCTGATTTTTTAAACATACCGCCCTGAAATAGCTGACGGGATGATTCACAGTCGTCATGGATGATGACGGTGTTCAATAACAAACGAGCAAACGAAATGTGGTCTGTGAATAGGTTTTGGTATACTCTAAGAGCTCATTTTACATATATGTGTAAACTATCAATTCACCCTTGATGGATATCATTACACAAAGGGTACATGTATAAGAAGCACTGAATGAAATATATGAAAGTTTATTTGTTGGAAGATCTAGACAGTGTGAAAAACAGATTCTTCAGAGTGGCCCTTTGAGTATTCCAGGGCAAAGTGACCTCCGCCTTGGTCTAGTGGGTGGCGCGTCTGCCCGGAGGCGGGAGATCGGTTTGTTTGATCCCATGCCATGACAACAGACGTCAAATATTGTACTTGTGCATATGCTAGCCCACGGCTTTGAGGGATAAAACAAGGTCTGTTTAGCTGGTATTCAGCGTACTGTGTCTGAGTAGGGTGTCCTTGTCTAACTGCACCATGATGTCTAAGCACAGTAAAACGGGTATACGATATCACTTGTCCACATAGCACACACACGTGCTATATAAGTGCAATAGTTTTTGAACGCGACGGTAAAGATTTAACACTCACATCCAGGGTAAATTTTCTTTTCACTATCCCCTGTCTGTCGGAAGAGCCGATTAATGAGGATTGGATGGTTGTTATCGTTGACCTAGCTGATTGACCTAGCTGATGATATATATCATCGACACCACACTTCATTATTCTTCATGCTATTAACCACGGGCAGCTCGTTCACTCACAGGCAGCCGTGGTAAACTTGGAATAATGAAGACAATAGTTTGAACGCTTCCTGATAGTCATCCTCGTGTGACCCATATCAAGGTGTGATATACAGTCATGGGACATAAGTATTCGTCAGTCGGCAAAATTCTCATAGACTTGCATGTTATTCTAGTGTAGCTGTAATAATTTTCATTAATTCAGTTTTTGTTATGTAGTTGTCAAATTTTGCAGGTTGTTTGGAAATCATCTGGGTCACAGATACATAATTTCCATGTAATGTTCCTTCAATTATTTTCCGCATTGTAGTTACATGAGCAACATATATACAACATTGCGTATTCTTTCCCCATAGACCGCCATGTTAAAATTGTCATAACCATAAGAAGCATCAATCAAAGAGTGGTCATTCTTGAAATACTGAATGGAAAATAAAACGGAAATTATGTCCTTGCAGCTGAGATGATTCATGACACATGTGCAAAATAGGAACAAGATCAAAAGAGAAATAAATTCAAGACTATTTTTCGAGCTGCACCAAATTAACATGTAAGTCTGTGGAAAGTATGCACAGTGACGAATACTTATGTCCAATGACTGTAGCTTGGTTGATACATGTCATCGCAATTGCATAGACCGGTGTTCATTATGTCAGTCACTTGATTGTCTGGTCTTGCGTGGAATTTACAGGCATCGTCATATTATACCTGCAATACTGCTGGGTGCGGCGTTTCACAACAAAGAACAATTGTTGATTCACGATAGACATGTAAATGCGTCATGACTCAAGCTTCACGTGCTAATGAATTAGCACAGGGCACCATTTCATGTTCCATGAGCTCTTCAGGGCCGAGAGTCCAGGGCCCCGTTCCACAAAGCAATCTTAGCGCTCAGGTGACTGTTACTCCCATTCATAAACACTGGCTTAGGACGGTCATATTACTAAGGTGACTTTTTGAACGCGGCCCAGGAGGACACAAACAACGTACACATCTACAAAATCTTTAAATTGTTCACCGGAACAGGTGCAAATGACGTCAGATGATGACGTCTGCTATTGGTTGGTCCCATAGTAACCAGATCGAAACTAACTACATTTTATCCGTGTAATCAGCTTCTAATATAACTATGTTATACAAACGAATCCAATTCCGTGTCCATAGTATTGACGTTAACACCATTGGTTATGTGCCTTTCTCCATTAACACCACGTGTGTACTAGAGTCTAATCCAGCTTCCAAAGATCTAGAATGTCAACTACAATGACCTGTCCATCAGTCCAAGCCATACGAATCAAATCCATTAAACGATCTTGACCTTTGTGTGTTGTTGAACTGACCCGGTTACAAACGCCTTCTGATCAGCGATAAGCAGGAGCTGCAGTACATTGTGGGCAGATGGATGGCTTATCTAGAACACGCAGGTAGAAAGTCGATATACATTACGACCTATTTCGATAACACGAGAGATAATGTCAGCTCCATTTGACGGTGGGTGGACAGGCCGGCATTTCATGAAATAAAACGACATATACACTTCAAGATTTAAACTGAATGACGCATATCTTGGAATCTAAATTTCAATTTTTCATTATTTTCATCTGATATAATTACACTCAACCCAAACTGTATATTTCGATCTATATACAGTTATATTCACGCAGATATAGGTACATAACTAATCTTTCATTTTGAAAGTGAACTGAAGGCGGAAAAGCTTCGATTACTGATTCAGTATGTTTCTGTATATGTCTCAAGGGCCCGATACGATAGTGATTTCGAATCCCATTTCCTCTTAGTCAGTCGCATCTGTCGAATCCCACAAGAGAAATTGCTCATTGACGTTCATATAAAAGGCAAGCAAAATGTGAAAATTACCCGAAGCACTACACTTCGACATCATCTATATGTCATATTGTCGCGCGTTTCATCGCCTCCTCATTTAAGTGGACAGACTACGCGACAACGGTCCATATTTTGAAAACTGTCGCCCTTAGGTAAAACATAAGAAAATCAAAGAGCACAATCAAAATGTCACAATATCGACTTGTCGTGCTTTGATTAATGAGGTTTTTGTTAGTTTTTCTTGGGGCAACAACGTGAGAATATGTCTTTTATGCTTCAACGGGCATTAGCGTTGTTTATCCCACGTTCAACTCATTAATCCCACATTGTTGTTTACGTAAGGTGCCAACATATTGCTTTCCAATGTATTTTACCCTTCTTGGAGAAAACTCAATTTGCCAAAACACCTGTGTCACACTTTCTTGTTTTCTTGTTTGTCTTGTCGGAAGCGATTTTGGACACCTAACAAACTTAACTTAAGTAACAGGGAACCGACGCCCAAGATTCATTTAAAAAAAATAATGCTCTTATCAGTTTCAGATCTCAGATATTTTCAATTCATTGCTTCAACGTTTATGTTCATTCTCACAGGATCTTCTAAGATCACCAGTGCTATCACAGCGTACAACTATCCCTTGCAAAGTCAACATACAGTTATTACCAGGAGAGTCACTGGTTGGCATTAACAGCTTGCAGCTGACGTTAATAAGAAAATCTATGCTCACTACGTGGTCAGTGCGTGATGTACCGTCGTCCCTCCTAGACCATGTAGAGATGTGTTCGCTTGCTTTGGTGGATCATTACATTTGTCCTCAGTGTAACCAACTTGAAGCTTACATCTGTATTACAAGTCCAAAATGATAAAACTCACGTACAAATGCACACAGTCATACACATACAGTCATTAAGTTGTTCCA